TTTTAATGAATGTGATAAATGTGTTTTACATTTAAGAACGTTTTCCAAATCATATAGTCATTGTTTTGCTTATATGTTGATGATATGCTAATAATGAGCAAAGACATTGCCGACATTCAAGCTACTAAGCGCATGCTTGCTAGTAAGTTTGATATGAAAGACTTAGGAGCTGCCGATGTAATTCTAGGAATTAAAATCCAGAGGACTCCTCAAGGTCAAGCTTTGTCTCAATCACATTACGTGAAAATGGTACTTGAAAAATTCAAACATTTGGAATTTAGAAGTGCAAGAACTCCAATTGACTTAAATCATCATCTTATAAAGAATAAAGGTGAAAATGCGTCTCAATTGGAGTATGCTTGTGTGTTGGGAAGCTTAATGTACATCATGAACTGTACACGACCTGATATAGCTTGTGCGATAAGTAAACTTAGTCGATTCACAAGTAATCCCAACAAACATCACTGGGTAGCAATGAAACGAGTTCTGGGATATTTGGAATATACCCAAGACTACGCTTTGCATTACAATAAATATCCTGCGGTTATCGAAGGATATAGTGATGCAAATTGGATAACCGGCTCAACAGAAACAAAGTCCACAAGTGGATATGTTTTTACTGTTGGTGGAGGAGCACTATCTTGGAAGTCTTCCAAACAAACGTGCATCACTCGCTCTACAATGGAATCGGAGTTTATAGCTTTGGATAAAGCCGGTGAAGAAGTTGAATGGCTTCGAAATTTCTTAGAAGACATTCCGTTCTGGCCAAAACCTTTGGCTCCTATTTGCATACATTGCGATAGTGAGGCTGCAATAGGACGGGCAGGGAGCGTTATGCATAACGGAAAGTCTCGTCATATACGACGAAGACATAACACCGTTAGACAACTACTTTCTAGTGTAATTATCACTATTGATTATGTAAGATCAAAGGATAATGTGGCGGATCCGCTTACAAAAGGCTTAACTAGAGAGGGAGTTGAGAAATCATCTAAGGGAATGTGACTATGGCCGAGGACAAGTCAACATGGCGGTAACTCTACCTAGAATTTTGGATGTTCCGAGATCTAGGTTCAAGGAGCTCAAACAAAGTTGTGATTGACCGGTTCAACATTGTCAAAGTAAAATCTTTGGTCCCTTCTCGTGATGAAGACAATGTTCAGTAACAAGGATAGAACTTTACACGTTCTTTAATGATTACCTAAGTTTGATGTGGTAGTTATCAAATAGTGTCAATCTTAAGGATTACACGCTTAGGAATCACCTATGTAAGTGTGAAGTGGAAGCCGCTTCAATGAGAATTCTGTAAGGCCAATTCTCTACGCACTTATGAGACCAGGCGGTGTTCATGGCTGAACGAACACAACAATGAGAACTAAAAGACGGTTAAGGTTTTATTGTGTGACATATGGTTGTCTAGGTATACACTAAAGTTCGACGGTTCAAAGATATCAAATCTACCGATTGACCGAGTATATCCGACATATGTTCACTACGGAAAGTTCAAAGGGAAACCTACTTATCCAGATGCAATTAATCCTTACTTGCAAATCACACAGCTTTCATCTATGATCTTTCTTGATACAGCCATTCCCATTCATGTGGGGGATTGTTGGACTTTAAGCCATTGGGCTTTAAAGTAGAAGAAGTGTGAATTGGAAATGGAGGGAAATAAAATGGAGGAAAAAATGAAAATTTGAAGAAGTGAACTTTTGTCTTGCACTTTGTCCCTCATTGGTAAGGGACAATCACATTTGTGTGCTTATATATAGAATCACTTCTTAAAGCTCTTAAAAGGAGTTGAAGAGAATGAACCCTCGCGCCGTCGTCGTCGCTCGCTCGGCTTCGGCTTCGGCTTCGGCTTCGGCTTCGGCTTCGGCTTCGGATTCGGATTTGTCAAATGATCGACACCTCTTCTGATAATTGCCTATAAATTCTGAGGCAAGGCTCCATTTTCTACACACGAAAACAGAACTTCTTTCTTTTTGAATATACTGCATCCTAATTCGCAATCTCTCTCTCTCCAATTCGTAAGTGTGATTTTGCTCCGTTCTTTGAGTTCGTTGGGATCCTGCAGTTAGTATTGCCACTGTTGCAGGAAGGTGTATTCCGTTTTATCCTGGGAGGATTTAATCCATTACCTTGGCAACTTGTGAGGGGGTTAAAATTCCTTAAGGACACACAAGAAACTTGTGGACTCGGAATATTTATGATTCTCTACTATTTTCCAGATTTCTTTAATTCTTCTAACAGTTTTTTTTCTTCTGATTTTGTGTTTTAACACAGTTACGCTCACACTTATGCTGTGGACTTGTATAACAAGATATGTAGCTGTAGAAAATGGGAATTATCAGGGATACCTTGCAAACATGCTATTTGTGCTGTATGGATGAAAAAAGATAGAGATTGTAGACTATGTTCACGACTGCTACAAGGTTGAGACATCCAGGAAAGCATATACAACCATATTCCCTATGAATGGGCAAGATTTATGGCCTAAACCATCTAATCCTAAGCTATTTCCACCTTCTTATTTGAAAAAGAATAAAAGAAAGAAACAAAGATTAAGAAAGAAAGAAGTGGATGAGCCTGGAGCCTCGAGGACTAGGATAAAATGAAAACAAAAATCAGTTGATTGTAGCAAGTGTGGTAGACCATCCACAATAAAAGAACTTGCTCTTTATATAGTGTCGTTGAACCAGAACCAACAAACTGCACTTCATTTTTGGACTCTATTATGGTTGAGAATACAACAAGTTGGACGCAAGAATCTGCACCTTTTCGTGACAAACTTCCGTTGAGATGCATATATCAATATTGTTTGTCTTACTTCACTGTAATGAAATTCATCTATCTTAAGGTCCTCTTATTCCCTTTTCAGGTTAGAAGAGGCCAGTAGCATGAATGTGCCAAGTTGCATATATAGCATCATAGATGTGACAGTCATTTCCATTTTGTTCATTTTGTAATGACGCAAGTTCATTTTGTAATGTGATGACGACCAAGCGAATTAAGTTCATTTCGTATGACTCAATTATGAAGTTTTCAGACTTTAATTTTTTACATGTTTCAACTTTTGGCATTTGGTATTTCTGTAATTAGAGATAACGATGCATCTAATTGATTCTAAACTTATATTTCAGTTTCTGCACACAATTTTTAATTTTTGCACTTACACTTGCAATATATTGCATTCTGCACACTTTTTTTAATTTCTGCACACCAAAATCTGCACTTCTATTAATTTCTGCATACATTTTTCAATTTCTACACACCAAAACAACACATTATTAAGTTTTCGCAGACCAAAATCTGCATATTTTTCAGTTTTGCACGCAATACTCTACCCAAATACAGAAAAAAGGCGCTGAAACCAATTCAAAAGATTCATATTCTGCAAAAGAAAATACTGCATGAAAAAGAAATGAGAAAATTTGATTGATTAGTAATCGGAAATCTGAAACATGAAAAGGATATAGAAATAGCAAATTGGAGAAAAAATAATTTTTAATTGATTTCACGAGAAAGAGATCGGAGAAAATCAAAGACGAGAAAAGATGCAACACACGTTTGTTAAGAATGAAGAGCTCGCTGAAGTTGGTGGCTCTTCTTTCTGGGAAAAAGAAAAAGTCACGTGAGCATATTAGAATCTGTTAAATATGGATGGAAATTTAACAGAGGGATACTTTTGTGAAACTTAAAAGATGTTTTAGATTAAGTGAAATATTATAAGGATGTAGCGAAAGTTAGGGTGATTTTGGTCAAATTCTCAACCAAACCAACACAAATTGAAAAAAAAAAAAAAAAAAAAGAAAAAAACATAGCCTCGTCCTTTTGTGGGTTGCCACTTCTGCCTAATTTTTTCTAGGCAAATCGAGAAGCTCTCACACCTAAAAATCCTACGTATAAAATCACCCATATTTCTTCCAACCCCGAAAATTTTCTTTAATTCCGAGTGCCTTCGAATTCATCATTATCTGATTTCTCATTCGTAATTCGCCTTTGCTGTCAAAAGGTACGATTTTTCTCTGTAAGTTTCAACTTTTTAAGAATTAACTGATTATCCGAAAAGTTAAAGTTGACATTTTTTCTTATTTATCCAAATTGTTTAATCTTTACCTTATCGCTGTTGAAAAGTGTTTCCATTTTCGATTGTGTTTTCATTGATATGCTTTGAATTGTTTGAAAAGGCCAAACGCGATTGCAAAGTTTTCAGCTTTTTGGATGTAACGGTAATCCTTAGTTAAGCTTACATTGGGCTTGAAACAATTTGATCATAGAATATAGAGTTAGCTTTTTTTTTTTGTATGTATGTATAACTTTCTTACAATTTCATTGTTAAGTGTCTTAAATGATTGGTTGAATACAAGTAGAATAGATGGACTGATTCTAGTTGAGTGCTAAATGTCTACCATCAAGGGAAACCATTTCTTTATAACATATTCAAGTGATAAAGGATAAAATTTTATTGTATTAAGAGGCCTACTAAGTTATTGAAAGTAAATACAAAGAGGCTGGGCATTAGGAAATTTCTGCAAAAGTATTTTATACTTGCACAACTTCCTAGTCTTTTGCCTTCTCTTGAAACACAATATCCAACTAAATTGAGTATAATGAGTATGTTTTGAACAGTGGCCAGCAGCCAACTAAATTGAACAAGGCTGGATTGTAGTTGGTCAAGAGCCATATTCTCCCAAAAGCCGGTTACATTTTTGTGACCAACATTGTTTTGGACCTAGTGGTACTGAATGAAAAGTTGCAAAGCCATGGAGCGACTGGATTTGCTTTTGCATTTCTGTATCAAAGTTTATATCTGCTGCTTCTTTAGTGAAATAAAGGGGTTATACAGATGATATCCATCATCACCTGTTGAAATTACTTAATGCCACTTTTTGCTGTGAGGAACTCTTATTTAAGACCGTATACCTTACAAGAGATAAGCTGCTTTGCATCAGTAAATTGTGCAGAGTTTAGAAAGATTCTTTTTGGTAATAATATGTGTAGCATATGCTCTACTTTCCACATTTTGAGCTCTGCTTTGTCTTTTTGTTTTTGGATTATATGAAAATATAATTAATGTGGGATTTTTTCACCGAGGGAATGATTCTGCTTAATGCATCGAAAGTCTAAACAAAATAACATTTTTGTTAAGGGGAAGTGAATTTGTCTTAGATATAATTAAAAGAAGAAGTCACTGATACTTAATAAGAATTTGGATGACAAGGGAGTGAAACAGTGTTGTCAAAAGCGAAAAGTTCTAAAAAGAGTTCCAGGTCGATTGGGGCTTTAAGCGCAAAGCGCAGCTAAAATGCGGGCTTTAGTAAAAAAAAAAAAGGCGCAACTGAAGGAAAAAATAAAATACATTATGCAACTCAACAAAAAAGAAACAAATTCACTCCTAATGTTTTCCTCAACAACTAATACACTTATTTGCTGATAATATTTGTTGTTTAGTACCGCTCAGTTCAAGATAGAACTCATGGGCATTGAGGCACACACTTTAGTGGCTTGCCTACACGGACACAACTTAAGCGAGGTGAAGCGCCCTCCTTGAGCTTTTCTTAGCCTCGGGGCTTAAGTGCGCCTTAATGAGCCTTTGACATCTGGTGGAAGAGAATGCAAAGCATGGAAGACTCGTGAAGGAATCATTTCGTTTGTTGTCTGATAGTTATAGTCTGATGTGTTGTGAGTAAAGTATTCCATCTGGAGGATGGTTGGTATAGTTGTTTTCTTCAAACTCATAGATGCTTAAATAAGCACAATATGTGTAACCTTTGACTGGCCTTATAAAGAAACGAAAATGTTTAACCTTCAATGCTTGGATTCCAGCTTCTTTTTTCTGTATTTTTATTTTTTACTATTTATGGTATTTGGTCTTATTGGGACAACTAATATCATGTATACAAGTAGCTTTTTGATTTTTTAATCTAATTGATCCACTTTGGTGTTTGGTCTTTTCTTAGGTTACTCATTTCCGCTTTCCTGGTTGGGGTCATCTCCTAATTTCATCAATGGTATGTTTGTACTTTTAACTTTTTTTATTCTTGGTGCAATATTCATCCAGATGTGCATTCTGCCAATTCCTTCTTCCTTTGAATTTGAGTATCATCATTTTGCTGGTTTATAGAATTCTTCAAAAGTCTTTTTGGTAAGTTAAGGGTTTTTTAGTCTAACTCTTCCTTTTTTGTTCTTTTGCCATTTTAAGTTAGGCTCTCTCTTTACTTAGCTGGGTTGAAATGGTAACGCATTTGATGTATTAGTAAAAATGATTTAACGACTAACCATGTCCATGTGACCTCCCCTCTACCCCCCTACACAAAAGTAGAATCATAAATTTACTCTTTTTACCAACATGGTTCTTATCATAGAAAAAGTGGATGTTTAGGGTCATACCTCACATTACATCACTGTTCTTTGATGTTTTCCCTATCCTTTCAAGTGCATTCTCATGAACCATGCGCTTACTTGAATTGATATCTTAATGCGGGAAACACAATCATGTTGTTCTTGAGGCAGGCTGCAAAAATTCTTGCTAATTTAATTGTAATGGGCTCTTCTATATTGGCAAGGGCTTTTGTTCAAGCATATCGTCAGGCATTAGCCAGTAAGTAATCTTCTGAATTCATGTCCCCACTCCCACCCCCCACCCCCCAACCCCCAACCCTCCTCTTTTATAATTTATTTTATAGGCAATTAATCTGAGTCGTTCTGCATCATAAGCATTTCAGAACTATTGCATTGTTTCTCATTAGATGTGAGGTTAATGTAATTCCCAAGGAATGCTCTTATTTAAAAAAAAAAAAATCCCAAAAATGCCGTGCATGGTACTTTAGAATATATTGATTCAGCAATAATGACAAGCTGCTTCCCTAAATTCTATCCAAAGTTTTTTTTTCTTTTTGTGTGTGTACGCACTCAATAGGTTTTTTCTTTTGATTTGAATGTGTGAGTTAGCTTGCACGCCCATTTGGTTTATCCATCAGGCAGCTTGCACAACCTACAAGCACTGGGGCTATGTAATCCTACTCACCGGGGGCGGAGTTGATAGACTCACTCTTAGTGATTTTAGTTGGGATTTGAAACTGAGATTTCCAGAGTTTTTGTGTGTTAACTACCTGGTTATCCCCTTGCAGACAAGGAATGTACTGTATTAATACTATGTAGAGATACATGGGTGATTTTCTTAGGGATTTTAACCCAAAGGAATCACTAACAAATTCTGCATTAGAAAGAATTGTTAATCAATGTAAAAAGTATGTTTCGACATGGTTTGATTCATGTCCCGCTCCTACCTCAAGGAATGAAATGGGGTAAGATTCAATATTCTGAGTTAAGCTATTGGGTATGACTTGGTTTGTTGTTATTGTTATTACACTGTATTTGTAAAATAAATTCTGAAAATATAAATGAATATAAACAGTAATGAATATAAACAGAAATGACATAAACCAATTCGAGCCCACTGAATTCACAGTGTTTCCTTAAGGAATTTAATCCCCTCCTAGTACCCAAGGTTATGGATTATTTCCTCCCAGGATAGAACGAATTACACACTGGTGTAGTGGTACTTCAAACCCCAGTGTTTCAGCGAACACAAAGTTCGGTAGCAAATCACACTTACTTT